TCTTGTAGGCGCTATGCGTTTCGCGCCGACCGCTCCTGACCGCACTGTCTTTGACGCAATGCGTGAAGTATTCATGCAGTCTTGTAGGCGCTAGTATGTGTTACATGTCGACCGCTGCGCCGAGGGTTTCTCCTTTTCATCTCAAGTCCTCGTCATCAATGCTCTCTGCGCCGCGCCGCTACAGACCAAATTGCGTGTTTGGTTTCTCTCTTAACTCGACTGATTAAAGGAGCTGCCTCTTGTATCACCGAAAGACGACAAAATTAGGAATGACTATATACTCTGAGGAAATGAGGGATTTTGTCGCCTTCTCTCGTTCGTAATTTTTTCTTATAGGTACCTACATTTAAAAAAATTGCGAAATTTGACGCCATGGTACGTATACAAGGTGTTTTCAAATTTGATCTTCGAGGGGGAGGGGGAGGGGGGACCGAAATGGCTCATAACGGGACAGATCTTTCACAAACTTTTTTTTTTCTGTTCTTACATTGTGAAAAAATGTCTTGGATTTTATTAATTCTATGACTTTGCGGGGTTCTTCAGTGTCAGGTTCTTTCTTTTAGGATAATTTCTTGTGAAAATTTTTGTCCCAATTTTTTTTTTTTTTTTTTTTTTTTTTTTTTTTAGCGCGGAGTCACTTGACATTGACAAAAAAATCAGGATTCAAGAGATGACAGACAGCCATTCTATTTCGTCGAAAGAGCAGAGTGCGGTAGACGATAACTGCTCATAATTTACAGAATGACGATGATTACATTTTTCGGCTACAAAAGAAAAATGCCGAAGTCCCGCAGCGATATTTCATGATTAAAATTTCACGTAAAACACGATTCTTGCATCAAAAATTACTGAAATCAACTCCTAACTAAGATATTGACGTTCTATTTTACATTGGTGACGGGAATTTTGAATTATCCGGTTACAAGAAACGCAATTCTCTGCGCGAGTCAAATCGCGCCTCATCACAGTTTTCGCAAGCTTCTCAATCGAGCATCGTTCCTTTCCCACACTTTATCGCTCAAAGTGTAAACAATTTGCTATAGCTGAGCCAAAGCGTCAAGATTGAGGTTACCAGATTTTCTTATCGCAGAGATTGTCATGGTAAAGTTAAGTGTGCGACTTCACTGACGTAGACTATTGTGTTTTCGTGAGCGGGAGGTTTGAATTCACGCGTCAAGAAACATTAAATATCTTACAAGGGGAACTTCCCAAGCTGCCGCCTCCGATCGGGCTGAAAAAATTCGTACGAACTCTTTGGATGAATTTATTTGACCCGTATTTTTTTGTTTTTTCCAATGCCCCCCAGAAACACCCCAAAAAAATTCCGGAAAGTTTTGCTTTGAGCGCTTGAGTCTATATACGCAGTATAGCAGAACTCCGTTCCGTCTAGTGGTGGCTCTGCGGTAGCGCGCTTGCCCAGTGATCCATTGGGCCCGGGTTCGATTCCCGGGCGCCGCGCCTGATTTTTACGACCGAATTTTATATTCTCACACATTTTCACATCGATTCCCATTTGATACATTAGAACTTAAAACATCAATTAATTTACAACCATCAACGATCAATAACTTCTTCAANACCTTCTTTCAGGAGAAAATTTTCCTTAACTTTTTGCAAAAGAATGAGGGAAGAACATTTAGGAATTTTGGCGCAATTTTGACTCTTAAATTTGAAAAATGGAGGGAAACATTAGTCCTGAAGTTTTGAGACAAAAGTTCTTAATAAGTGGAAAAACGTAGGTAGATTAAGTGTTTTCAAGAAATTTCAAACAATGATCTCTCGGAAGGTGAATTCCCTTTCCACAGATAGGTTACAAATAAATGAGGCTGCGGCAATCATTTGGCAAAGATATAAGGTTTATATTAATGAGAGGAAGTAAATAATGATAAGGTAAGGGATAAATGAAATGTAGGTGCGCTAAACACGTACGAACAAGTGCATTGTGAATACATACATAGACCACTCCCACATATTATACTGCTGATCTGGTCACCTTGACGGTGAGAAAATAATGAATTAATTACTGTTGGACCGGCAGCGGAAAAAAAATATATTTATGAATGAAGCGATAGGGCAAATGAGTGGAAGAGTAGAGTACTACTGGCTCACTCTTCATGTCTTTCAATGAACGATAAAATCGGCAAAGATACAGACAGAGAACTCTAGCGAGGAGAAGCACAACTACAACTCAGAGATCCACTGCATCCAGTTCTCAGATCGTTCAAAGAGTGCGCTGCTGTCCAAGCTCTCGATCAACGTGAGACCACGTACCTGCTTACCTGACGGACAAATTTTTGTAAAATAATCCTCTAGATTTCAATTAATCGTTTTAGGATGTTAGATTTGCACAAAATTATGGAGAAGTGATCACTGATTTACGAATTGGCTTCTGTCAGTCTCGATTTTGATTTCATTCAAAAAAAATTCGCGAAAGGAACTCTAAAAAATAAACCTCCGGTTTCAATCGAATCAGTCGTTTCGGAAATGGTGCAATCCGGGAAAAGCCAAACAGATCATTGCAGATTTTTTTTTCTTTCTTTCTTTCCCTTTCTTCTTCTTCCTAAGAGGAATTTAGATGATACATACAAAGAACTTCTCATCTCTGGTTCTCTAGTTTCAGAATATTTATACTCAGTCTGCTGGGAAAGCGTCCCTAAAAAATAAGCTGGTTGTCCTATCAGAAATGTTGTCCAACCTGATAGAGGGAGTGTGATGAATCAAATTTAATGGAATCTCTAGGGAAGTTCGTGGGCTGAGTGATCGTTGGGAGCAACATTGCATCGTATGGATCAACAAACGATGTCTCATGCACTCGAGACTTTGAACGACTGATTGTGACTGCAGTGGCGATTCTTAAGTGTTGGCACAACAGGGCTTCGCCTATTAAAACGTCTGTAGAGTGATCTATTCTAGGCGAAGGATCAACTTTTTATAATGGAGTTGCACGGAGGAAAAGCATTGTTGCCAACTTGCAAGAATCGCCGGTAACTAACGTACGCCCGACGTAACAGACACGTAAAGAAAACACTTACTAGACTGAAGTAGACGATAGTCTTACCTTGTGCCATTGCTGTGCATGGTGCCATGAGAATCGCAATTTATTGGCAATGGTCCGGCAAGCGACCAAACAAATCAACATAGTTAGATGAGCATGAGGATAGGAATAGGTGTATATGAGAATGAAAATGGAAAGAAGAGGGTATGAGATGATGAAGGAAGACTTAAATCGTGCTGCTAAGTGCTTGTTTCAATAAAGCACGTTCGTCCTTTTTACAATAGGGATTACTCCTTAAGGGGTCAATCGGTGCCCAACAATCAAGGTCAAGAAACGAAGCATTAGGACGGTGAAAAATTTAAATGCTATTGGAGTGTGGCCCAACTGATTTTTCTAATAAAAAGGTATTCTTTGCTGCGACTCTCCGTCAGTCCCAATCAATAGTTTCTGTACATCATTGATCGAAATCAGTGAAAAGTGAACACTTAATAATAAAAATTAAAATTCACTACGGACCGGAAAACTGATTCGAAAAGTCCCATGTTTCTTTCTCAGACGTCACGAATTGTGTTTACTTATTCTTAAGACAAGGGAATAACGACTGGGCCGTCAATAATCACTTTGATACTTGGAATTCCGAAGACGGAACAGTGAATGAATCTCCTCCCATGTTTGATCACGGGTCCCGAGGGGTGAAAACAGAGAGAAAAGGAGACCTATTTTTTCTGCGATTTCCCACGGGTACTTGACATTGATCACCATTAGTCGTTGCGCCCACAAAACGTTCGAACCTAAAAAAAGAAACGGAGACCCACCGTGGTTCGTCTGAACATGAATATTTCCTCATCTATCAGGGACAGCGGCAAATCTTCCCACCAAGTTAAAAGTAGAAAAAATGTATGGAGCACGAATAACCAACAATCGTAAAAAATCGTTATGAATACCCACAATATTCCTTCAAATTCGTCCGCACTATGAAACCGTCCATAAACGTGACAAAATTTTGTAGGTAGTTGAAAAACCTTCATATAGACGGACCTATATTTGGATTACACCTTGCAATAAGGAGCCACTATCACTGGCTCTCCCATAAAAGCACATATCTGCATAGGGAAACCAAAGGCATGCATGTTTTTTCTAAAATGGGTCAGAAATAGTGGTTCCTTATTGCAATATGTATGTAATCCATTTCAACCGAACCTATCCTCATCTGATGATATTTTTGCTAAAATATCCTAATTTTTTTTGCTAAAAATCCTAATTTTGAGGGATACTCGAACTTGTCTCAGGATCGTTATAAGTAAGTCTGTGGGACACGTTTTCGGTTGTGAGGTCATCAAGAATGGTCCTTTTATGGGGAGACCCCACAATTTAAGACAAAAGCATGTCGAGTGGCCACTTACATGCTGTCATAAATCAGCACTAGCACACTTTAAAACGGTGGAAATTTCCTCCTTTTTTCCATAAAAAAGAAAGGCGTGCAATGTATTTTTTCTCCACCAGATTCTGGTGAGTTTTTTCACATAAGAGGATAATATCGCCATCAAGTTACTTTTTAACTATTGATTTTGGGATATGGTGAGAGCAAGATAAGGTTTCAGTATTCCCGATTCCCTTCCGCCCTCTTGATCGAGCCTATTGCGACCCGATGAAGAAGAAACGTAATTTTTTTATCGCTTCCTAACCGGCCGTTTTCGTGGATGCACAAACGTTAAAATACATTAATATTATTTGTATTTAGGAAGCGTGTACATTTAGCCGCCCCTTCCAATATCAAGTGCCCTGATTTTTATCCCCCCGTGTAATCATATTTACATGTCCACAGCGAAAGAGAAATTCACCTTATGCAATAAATTGTTTCGGGTGTCTAACACCGGTGCGTACTGCGTACCTTATAAGGCTGGGCTATGCCTGAGGTTGACGGGTGTAAGCGAATAACGAATCAAAAATCATAGCGGATGAAAGAGCATTTTAAGTAAAGAAGAAAAGTAAGGGAGCACTGTACCTGGAAGTGGAGAATAATCGTCCAGATGAGGCCGAGGGTTAATTTTGGGTTTCCATCGACGATGTCTTCAGCGCGAATATTCACCAGTTTTATCTAAAAAGATAATTTAAACATAAGATTAAATGTATACATTATCAGAAAATCAAAAAATCAATCTAATTGCCGGCGAATGAAAAAAAGAGGGGGGCAATGGGGGNNATACCAGTAGGGGAGAGGGATACTGTTGTATTGGAAGAGTTATGACCACCTGTACCTTTTCGGTGCAGGAGAGTTGTGCCACTTATACATCGGTCCAAGACTAAGAGTTTCAAGGTATCATAAAGCCATTAAAGCCGTAAGTAAACGCTTCTGTTAGGTCAAATGGTCAGCTTTAAGAAGTTTATGCCAACCCTCTCACGAAAATATACTCCGTATGTACCGCTACCTACCCTTTCTCCCTGGATCAAGCCAATTTGTGGCTTTGTTCGAATTATCATGTTATTAGGACATAAAATAAAAATTCATTTTCCTAAAATTAGATAATTAATTGCATTCTTTATCAGATATTTTATTAACTCCTTTTCGTCGCAATCTTCTTTATATTCTTACGGCCGTTAGAGAACTTTCTCAACCAATGGGAAAGCGGTGCGTAAATGACCATTCTCATCCCATAAGCGTGGCTAGGTTATTTTGTTGAAGAGGGTTAGCCCCCCTATCGCTGGGGGATCTAGGAGACCTCCCCCGGAAATTTTTTCAAATTTTGACTATACTTGGACGCATTTTGAGGCTTCCATTGCGCAAATTTTCCATTGATTTCTGAACATAAATAAAGTTGTTTTTTCAGCTCCAAATACTTTCAAAATATTGCATAGAGAACTGCGACAAAGAATTATCGTTGACGAGGAGTTTTTCCACCGGACAGAATATCTGGGGTAGCCAGATGATACTATTAAGCGCTCAGTCGACAGGAAGCACTTCTTGATTTAAACTTGCCTCTATAATTCTGGTAAACTAGTGGCAATTCGTTCACATGGCGCACCAGCTCAACAACAACATGACGGAGAACCAACACATGATCGCCCAACATATGTAGAATGAATTCATCTAGGTAATTCTTCTGATATGTCAGAGCACAGAGGACAATAATCGTTTCTCTATAATTTATTTTGTTAGCGGTAGTATAGTTTTCTCAAAACTGATAACTGACATCTTGGTGAGAGAGTTCTTTCATCTCAACAGTGGTCATCTTCTTCGGGGAACTTAAAAACGCACCTACAAGGAAAACAGCTGAGCGCTTCCCTAATACAAACGTAACTTGTTTTCAATATTTGGGGGAGCGAGGCCCCCTAGGACCCCCTGATTACACCCATGACACTCCCGAGTACAGTACAGTGGAAAACACTGTTGGCTGGGAGAAAAACGGTCCTAAGCTGATAGCCTCAAGTTTCAACGAGGCTCGAACAAGGTGGGTAACGAAATGGCACAGCATACCTGCATCTTGCACACTGTGTGGAAGTGCCGGCGACCTTGGGGGACCGTACTCACTTTGTAAGTACAACTTAGTGGTCGATTATGCACGGCGTCGAGACGAGGGCTCCTTCAGCCTTCCTACCGTCCTACCCTGCCCCTGCTCAGCCACCGGTTAAATTGAATCGTTTGATTAATGCCACGCACCGTGCGCATCAATGTATTAACTCATGTGATGCTTTCATTTATCCTTTTGTTGATCATTCCCGATTTCGCCCACACATCGACAAAGTCGGCTCTCGAGGAGTGCTCTACTCGCCATTCGGCGCCTTAAAAGTAGTCCCCGATATCAACCAAGCCATGGGCCCGAGATAAGTGAACATAAACAAGTAAACTCTATCCACTGAAGCATAAATAGGCCGTTCATAAAATACGTAAGACTCTTGGCGAGAGAGGGGGAGGGATGTGGTCCGAGCTTGCACTGTGCAGGTGCGTAAACCATCTTAACATGGTTCTGTGACTAAAGCGCAACTGGCCTATTTTTCTTATCTTCTATCAAATGAGGTATCACAAGAGAGGAGGGAATGCTACTTACAACAAAAAGAAATTGGGCTGACCCCTCGCCCTTCCTACCCCCTCGGTGAGGAGGGTGCTCCCCTAAAATTTATGGTATACCAAAACGTGGTTCTCTTCAGCCGAAAAGTAGCCCCCGATAGGTACCCAATCCAAACCTTGTTTGGGCAACCTCTCTTCCGATACTATTTGCATACCCGCAGAGAAATACCCATACCCGCAGAGAAATATGTCCCGCGTAAAATTTTTGGAGAAAAATTGATGCGGCAGTTGAGTTGCAACGCTGTTTGGAGAGTTCATGAAAGCTTCGGCTCAACGAAACTTGGAAATAAGAGCCATGAGATGAGCTTACCTTTTTAAATCGTAGAAAATCAAGCGCCATCTGAACATTTTGTAGCATGTGAAACCGCATCTGACCACGTTCTCGGGGCTGTAACAAACGAAGAAGTAAGATGTCAATGAAGGGAATAATACGTATCTCATTGAACGGATAAGTTACAAATGCAAGAATCTTAACGGATTAAGTTAAGCATACTTATTTCAGAGATTTTTTAGCCATCAGGAATCTTCCTCTTAAACGGTTAAGCCTTCTATCGAGGTTAACTTTAATGAGGCGATATCATTTTTAAGGAATATCAAGAAAGGGACTGAAGAGAGGAAACTCATTTATTTGACATGAGGACAAGAGACCTGTTATAAACGTGGGGACTTTTTTCCTTTTACTTTTAGAATCGAATCTCATGTTTCAAACCTATTAACTCTTAATCTTCTGGACTTACATGATTACGTGAAATAATTCATAATATATATATATATTTATATTTAGGATATAAACCTATAACCTTTAGGCTAAAACTGAAAAGAGGAAGAAAACCCCGGTAGAGGCAATTCAGCAGGCCCTGAACCGATATTTTTGATCAAGCTGCTATTTTCCGACATTCCCTCTATGGAGGATCACTTTTCACGCCCTTCACGCCCTCGAGCCAATTTTGTAAATATAACTTTTCAGAGGGTACATATCAGGGCCGGATTTACCTACTTTCCGCCCATGGGCCGCCTGCATTTTGCCGCCCCTTTCTCATTCGTTTTGAAACATCAATGAAAACCATCAAGTGAACGTCCCGGAGGGAGAGGGGTGCATAAGACGCGTTTACTCGTGTTGCACACATTTTTTGCGAAAGCCCTGTCGACACTACTGGCAACAGTTCACGGAACTTTGCGTGAAAGTTAAGTTCCGTAAACCTGTCTCTGTGCGGACAAGGCCTTCCATTTATATGAAATGAACGAAAATATTATGAAAGAACAAACATAAATGTGGTTTAATAAATTCAACTTCCGCCGCCGCGCCACGTTGACCGTACTGTGTTTGGCGCAATGCGTGAAGTATTCATACAGTCTTGTAGGCGTTATGCGTCTCGTGCCGACCGCTGCTGAACGCACTGTGTTTGACGCAATGCGTGAAGTATTCATGCAGTCTTGTAGGCGCTATCGCGCCGACTGCTCCTGACCGCAGCGCAGTGTCTTTTCCGCAATGCGTGAAGTATTCATGCAGTCTTGTAGGCGCGTGTTACATGTCGACCGCTGCGCAGAGGGTTTCTCCTTTTCATCTTAAGTCCTCGTGATCAATGTTCTCTGCGCCGCGCCGTTCCAGGCCAAATTACGTGTTTGGTTTCTCTCTTAACTCGACTAATTAAAGGAGCTGTCTCTTGTACCACCGTAAGACGACAAAATTAGAATTGACTATACTCTCAGGAAATAAAAGAGTTTGTCGCCTTCTCTCGTTTGTAATTTTTTTTTCTGAATCCGATTTTTTTTTTATACCTACATTTAAAAAAATTGCAAAATTTGCCGCTCCCTGAATATGCCGCCATGGTGCGTATACAAGGTGTTTTCAAATTTGATCTCCGGGGGGAGGGGGGACCAGAAATGGCTCTTAACGGGACAGATCTTTCACAAACTTTTTTTTCCGTTCTTACAAGGTGAAAAAAATGGATTTCATAAGTTCACTGATTTTACCATGACTTTGCAGGGTTCTTCTGTGTCAGGTTCTTTCTTTTAGCATAATTTCTTGTGAAAATTTTTGTCCCATTTTTTTTTTTTTTTTTTTTTGCGCGGAGTCACTTGAAATTGACAAAAAATCAGAATTCGACAGATGACGGATAGCCATTCTATTTCGTCGAAAGAGCAAGAGTGCGGTAGACAATGACTGCCCATAATTTATAGAAAGACGATTATTACATTTTGTGGCTACCAAAAAAAAAATTCCGAAGACCCACAGCGAAATCTCCTGACTTCTCCAGGTTCGAAAAAATTCCCTGTTTTTTCCAGGTTTTTGAAGACTTCTCAAAATCTTATATCGCCCTGTGCTAGAATGGACCACTAGACAAAGTACGAAGATAAGCATTCTGATATATATTTCCTGACCAAAATTTCACGTAGAGCACGATTTGCGCAACGAAAATTGCCGAAATTAACGCCTAACCAGTATATTTAATGTTTCTTTACACGTGAATTCAAACCTCCCGCTCATGAAAATTCAATGGTCTACGTGAGTCATATCGCACACTAAAAGTTTCCCGTAACCAATGTAAAATAAAAACGTTATTATCTGAGATAGTAAATGATTTTGGTAATTTTCAATGCAAGAATCGTGTTCTACGTGAACGTAGAACTACGTCGTGTTCTACGTGTTAAGAATCATGTATCAGAATCCTTAAATTCATGCCTTGTCTAGTGGTCCAGTAAGGATCATGTCCAGTGATGACACGTGCATGTGTGCCGTGTGCGCTTGCAAGAATCAGTTAGATTAATGGGCACTTGTGAGGGGCGCCTTGGGCCTGACGTTGCGTGACGGGGACGACGACAACGACAACGTCGGGGGACGTCGAGATCCGATCGGAAGGAAACAAGGCCGAAATCGCCCACGCCCCCGGTCCGCTTGCACGGTGTCCCGTTGATAAGTGATTTGCATCGACCAGATAACAATTAACGACTTGGGGACGGATAACCTTTCAATTGCAGTTCATGATGTCCCATTCACGGAGGCTTTCAACGTCTCAACTCATGAATGGATACTACCGGGCGGCGCGCGGCGAGGTGCCGCCGGTGGGGAGGCGCAGGAACTCCTAAGGTCAACGGAGGAAAAACGAAGAGGTGAGAGCTTGAGGGGCTTAATTGCATTGCGATGCTGCCAAGTTTTACCCGACAAATTATTTCTTCAAAAACGAGGAACGGGTATCTTACAAGATCGTTCACGAAACACACATGGCTTCCTTTTTCGAACGTGATAAAAAAATCATGCAAGTGGGTAAAGAAAAGTTGCTTTTTTGTGAAATTATTTCTTGTTCGCAAAAGCTGTTCTAAACCTCTGTGTTTGTGGGTGCCAGGAGACATAGAACCTGTGTTGGCACGTGCGTGGGAGGTCTGGTGGATCTCTTCCGGAAAAATCTTTCACGAACGCTATTTTGACATTTTGGCTCTTTTCATTTTTAATATGAATAACGTAATCAGAGACAAATTTCGCAGTTTTTTATCAGGTTTTTCTATACTTTTTTTTCCATATTAATTCGATTTTTTGAAAATAAGTGCACAAGTATGCCAAAAGGTTCATGTTCATGCACTGTCTCTTGGCTCTATCTATGTATGTCTCTTGCTCACTACTTCGAGACTTTCATGAATACGCGTTTTTCTCCGATCCCTTGAATTTCAAATTATCAAGAGTTGACTTCAAACAGCATTTCTGACCAGACTGATTTAGTAACTACGTCATTTCGTCGCCCCTCTGACGTAAGAATATATCTCGATTTCCACGCAAGACCTGTTTAACATATAAATCCATGATTTCTAGGGCTCATGCTAAAATCATGATACGCTTTTGCGGCAGAGGAGCGAAAATTTGATACATTACTGCCGATCGATTTTTCCTATGTAAACAGAAACCCGATCTTAGGGTATTTAGGGCGAGGTGGTCAAATGAACCCCGGTGTTCCTCGCAGGCGAAAGTTCTCGTGTGATAGACGGATTATAAATTGATTAATTTGGAGGTATGTAAAAATATGGTGTATATTAATTTGTTTAACTTAATCAGCACATTCCTTGAATTAAGTGTGATTCGATTTCAGTTCACATCCCCCCTTTTTTAAATTTTTTTACACACATAGCGTTAATGGATACGAAAAAGAAACAAATGGAATATCAATAATACTTCGAAAGGGAACGATTTCATAAAATCATCAATAATTATCACAAATTCGACGAATATATTAATGACGAATTCATAATGAACAATCGTATCAGAAATACTCAACATAGAATGAGGACTTGAGGTTATGTTTAATGGTTTAAACTGGAACCACCGAGCGTGTCGGACAAGGATAAATCGAATTGAGCAAAAATGACTCAGCCACGAAATTAGTCTATTATCATTCAGGCCCTTTGTGTCGCAAGGGAAAAAATGTACACAATCGCATGGGGGCGCCAAAATTTCTCGCATCTCTTTAATTACTGAATTTTGAAAAATTTCCGTGTGCTTTTTGGCTGCCTCTTCTCATTCGTAGTTTTTTCTTCTTCACCTCCGTCTTCGTTCTTCTCCTCTGACTCCTACTTATTCCTCCTCCTTTTCTTTTTTCCTCTTCCTAATCTGCTGCTCCTTCTTCTTTTACCATTTCTTTTTTTCCTTTTTAGTTCTTCTTCTTCGTCCTCTTCGTCTTCTTCGTCATCTTCATCATCTTCTTCATCTTCTCCATATTCTCCCTCCTCCTACTTTAATTGACCCAGGTGGGGAGAGAGAGAGGGGGAATGCCAAATTTACTGTTTGCGTGGTTGACAATATTTACCCTCGTTATGGCCGTGTTATTACTTGAACATACAGGATCGCATCCCCCTCCTCCCCCAGGGCCCGATGTTATTGAACCACTGAATCCGGCGTCTAGCTGAAGGCAGAATTTTAATCCACCCAGTCCGCCCTTTATGTTGAAAACAACAGGAAGAAAAAGAAAAAGAGAATGATCTTTGTATTTTGATCGATGGCGTGGGTCATTGATTCCTTCAAAATCTCTGTGTTCTGAACTTAGGGGCTTCGAAGTTTCAGTGGATCAAATCCGTAGGTTTTCGAGGAATTCGTGAGGAAAAACTCTTCCATCCTTTGCCCATGTACATGAGCTGTTGCCACGTCTTGCCCGGCTAGGCTGCGCGCGAAGGGAAATCGCAGCGGATCCGGGCAAGGCGTGGCAAAAGCCAAGTTCCGGACCTTTCGTCGTCTATCGTTGCCTGGAGGGTGCGATTATTTACTTGCCTCATCCTCTCCTCCTGACCTCGATAGATGTGAGCTGCGTATCTACATATGAGAGAGCGATTCGAACCTGATCTCAATAGATCTGGTTATCGATGCACCAATACGGCAATACATGCAGCTCTCCCGGTCTTCCGATGCCGTGGATACGGAGACATTTTTAATCTTGTGCTATAGATGCGGAATTGGAATTTTGAACGACAGTACCCAAAAGCGCAAATATCTAAAATCTCGAACTCTAAAAGTGTCGAGACTCATCCCGAAAGCGCAAACACCTAAATTAAAGGAAAAAACTGAAGGGAAGACATACAGATGATTTTTTTCTGCACCTTATCCAAGGTTTTAAAGCGAGAAACTTTTTCAGGCTTCCTTTAGATACTTCGTCATGGATTTGTTTTTTTTTTTTTTCTCGAATGAACCCGGTCTACTGGTACTCCAATGCGATGCATTTTCGATTAGAACAGGGGGAACGTGGCGTATGGGGGGTCTCCGAGGAGCTTCCCTCACAAAAAATCGAACTTTTAAAGATCAAATATCCAGTTCCAATCATAAATAATTACCAAATACAAGCACCCTTCCTTACTCTTTCCTCCGTTCCTTCTTTATTCAATCTTCCTTCCTTTCATGTGTCTTTCCCTTTTTTTTGGGTGAACGCGGAAAAACCGGCCCCTACGTCCTCCTCCTAAGATTCACCTATGGTGCGATGACTCTGAAGCAATTAACAAAGTCGGACAAACTTTTTGGGTCCTGCCTCACCGGGTTCTGAACCGCTCATAGTTGACAGCTCATATGGTTGCAACCCTCGTTGAAGTCCGGCTTTGCGCTTCTGATTGGCTGGTGATGCGGTTTGGACTCATAGATGGATGTTGCACCTCCAGGTAAAAGAGCCGACAACATTCAGCTCCTTGACCGACCGAAGTCGGCATTTCCAATCTTTAATCATAATTTTGTCACTTTTCACGGCACCCTGCCTGGCTGTGTAGGTCATTCTACCGGAGCGCCACGGCGCGCCAATCTTAATGCCCATTTCCGCCTACCGAGCTCAGGACATCGGTTGCAATGCTGCCGTGCTAAGGAAGAACGCCGTATGAACATTCGAGAATTGCCAAATTTCCTTCGATAAAATATTCATTCTTGAGGAAAGTTATGAGTATTTTCCCTTGAAATTTTCAAGAACTTCAGGTGAAATTGCGACCAAAATTACCTGATAAATTGGAAAGAGGATATTCATGAGTTTACCCGGAGATCCGTGTTTTATCGAAGGAAATTTGGCAACTTCTGAAGGCTCATACGGCGTTTTTCCTTAACACGGCAGAATGTGAGTGCGGCTTGCAACTTACTAGCTGCAACTGTAATTGATTAGCCCCTCTCCCCCTCCGGCTTTCCCGAATGATCCCCCCTGCGGCCCTCGATCCCTTATGGCATTGTCTATTGTCTTAATAGGTGGGGTTGGTGAGGTACTCAGGCGGAACGAGTCCGACCCGTTCCTCATTTTGTCGCCCGTCTTGTTGCGTTCCGCCTCGTATGCCACCTTCGTCTTCGGAACGCTCGACGTCGGTGCTTGGCTGACGAAAGGGCGTAACTTCACTTAGAGATGAGCCCGGGAAAGTATTGAGGTATATGGACGACAAGGCTCATCGCGAAATGTAGCTGCGTTCTTATTTCAAGAAGGCGACGACGTGTGGAGAGTGTGGACGCCTCTCCTCGCTCATTGCTGACTCTTCGATCTGCGTTAAAGCGTCCGTTCCTCGGATTATTTTGTCTCATGAGCAAACAAAAAATATTTCAGAATGCACCACTAAACGAAGTGCAAATTAAAGCATTATGGTGTGTGATATCTCTTCAAAATTTCACATAGAACACGATTCGCGCAACGAAAAAAACGGATAACAACTCAAAACCAAGATGTTAACGTTTTCAGTTCACATTGGTTAAGGGAAATTTGAATTTCTCGCTCGCAAGAAAAACAACTCATCTACCATTTCTTTCAATTGGTGGCACTATTTTACAAGTGAACATTCTCGGGGTTTCTAGAGAAACCCTATAAAAAACTAAGTAAGGCACTTTCATAAGACTCTATTTGACCATTTTTTTGAAAAAAAAAATATGGTCGCGAGGCTAATAAAAAAACCTTTCAGTCCTCTTTAAAGAATAGCTTGCATCAGGGAATCGGAATATTAGCTCTCTCGCATACTTGCATAAGGCCAATGTGACCGAGTATTTCGCCCCAAAAATCAAGTTGTGAAACAAAACTATGACATTGATATTTGACTTCCATACAAATATGTGACCAAAATAAAAATATAATAACATTGTATGGCTTCATTTATGATTTTATGACCCGTAGACACCCTGATTTGATGGGATTGTTTTAGTCACATATAAACTAGAAATTCAAACGACAAAAACAAAGGGATAAACTCACCAGGTGTTCGCCCGTGAGAACCTCCAGTAGTGAAATAAGATTGAGACCATCTTGAAGATCGACGAAAAGATCGTTAACGTGTCTATTTGCCTGCAATAAAAATCAAACAAAACGAGTCTTAAAAGGTGAATTAATAAATTCTTACATCATGCATTCAACTGAGCGACATCAGCTTATATTATTTTGATAATGATATTTGTGCTTTATTTGCCCCTATAATATCTATGATATCATAAAATTTCAGAGAAAAAAATCCCTGACCTAACGGACAAAATTTCCGACATTTTCGATGGACCATGAACAGACAGGGATAATAAAACTGATCGTTATCTGCCTGTAATTTTAATCTTGGCGGTATCTGGGTTTTCAGTATTCGTGTTGTCATAATACCCCGAAATCTTTGTTCCAATGATCGCGAGAACTCAGAAATGGACATAAGTATTTATTTTAGAAGAAGCTATACGCTAAGGGTTTACTGGCAACATAGTTCCTTCCAGCATAAATATGTCGAAAGAAACAAAAAATCCGGAAAGAAAATTCAATACGCGGAATAAATTATTATGAAATGCCATCGCTTTCCCGTTTGTTATCAATGCAAGGCTGCGCGCCCCGGATAACCGAACCAAAATAAAAACAGTAGCAATTCTCGGCCTCCATTTGAAATGGAGGAGGAACTAAAGATACAAGTATTCAAAAATCTGAAAATGACGGCAGTCATACCAAGTGCAAAAAATAAAGTACAGAAGATACAAGCGTTAGAGCAAGCAGCAAAACCAGCAAAATAAAGAATAATTGGCAAAAGTCATATAATGGCTGAATTTAAATTTTTTGCTGAAAGGGCGGTAAAATTGAGCCAAATGAAGTAAAATTTTACTTCAAACGTCAACGCTACAAAGAAAAACAAGAATGCTGTAAAAAAATAAAACGAATAAAAGTAAAAATGGTCAGTGGCATTTTTTCGCGGCTATATCTTTCAGAAATCATTCCTGGTAAAAATTGGCAGTAGAATCTGTGTTACAAAACACCATAGACCTACATCCGGCTGTAAGATTTCCAATAGCTTCTATAGTCGGCAACACAATTTCTTATAGCCTTTATAGCCAATGGCGATTAAGCAACAGCCTGGCGATAAAGTGTATGCTAAACGTTACTAATTACGGACGCTAGGACTTAGTGAGTTTTTGGACTACCGCTCTCTTTTTGGGCCGTAGTATCTTGATTTATTTTGCGACGAAAGCTTCGTACTTTTGAAGGATGCCTGCCATTCCTAATATGTTGGAGCGCCGTGGTACGCTGCGGCGCGGCGGGCGGGCAGCCAGCGCGAGACGCGCATTGGCGCCTACAAACCTAACAGGGATACTTCACGCGTTGCGCAATACGTGAAGTATCCCTGTTAGGTTTGTAGGCGCCAGTGCGTCGCTGCTCCGCTTTGTGTTAGGCTCTAATATTTAATCTCGTGGAGTCAGCGTTTTTCAACTCATGACTTTGAAATGTTTGCACACTCTGTATGCATTATTCTCATTTGTAATTGATGAAAAAAAATATGTAGTAAAGGAAAATATAATGCGCGTTTTGTAAATATTAAGGTGATTCCGTACGAACTTAAGGATTTACAAAGCACACGAGTTTTTACACAATTTCTTATAGCCTTCTATAGCCAATGGTGAAAAAGCAACAGCTAGGCGGTAAAGTGTAAAGCCCGGCGATAGGAATTATAGCCTGGCTGTATTATTTTTTATCGCTTCGTGTAGCCCGGCCGTACGATTTTTTCCACTTTCAACAGCCAGTTACATGATTTCCCTCCCTCAGTCGGCTATAAGAACTCCTATGGTATTTTGAAACGCAGCTCCTATCGCCAATTTTTACCAGGGATTTGAACGGCCAAAAAACCAAGTTCTTTCCTCGATCTAAAACTAGATCTAAATAATTAAATGCGCTAGTTTCTTTGTAAGACAATTAATGAGAAATAGCAGGGATTGTTTGAAAATGACAACTGCTGCCTACAGTTTGAAAAGCAAAGCTACTTTTCACTGCTTTAGTGATCGCGAACACACCTCAATAAAAAAGATGTTTTGATTAGTCTCCTCTTTACAGAATAAGAAAATAAAAAAGCATAATTAAAGATTTGTAGACGCTACGATGGAGATACGTTTTTTTCAACATTAGCTTTCGCTAAGCTAGGGCTCCAGCTACGGCTATAATGGGTAATATTGGGTTGATTTACGCTTAAAGACGTAAAATTCTCGCTCTTGATTGAAAATCTATAAATAAATCAGTAACAACGCAGAATAGTGCGATATCTAGTTGTTTGTTTACTTTCGGTATTGATTCACTTCAATCAATGATCCCGATCCTATTCAAACCTGACAAAAAGGGGCGAGGACATGCCTCTGAGTACTCGAGTTAGGTTAGATTAGGTCACGCAACTAAATCAACTTTGCGGCAATGCGGGAGGTGTCACATGGAAATGCAGGCGCGCAGCGCGCCTTGCCTATGCTAAGTCGCGCAGATTTCTTCTGCAGCTGCAATTATAACAAAGGGTTTCAAGTTTCTTTCCTTCCCTTTTTGGTACACTTCGCACTGTTTGCAAACAGCAAATCGATGGCTTTAGTCGAAAAATGCGTTATTTCGATTTCGACGTTGCAAATCTCAATTCATGTTTCGTTTTTTAAAAAGAAAACCAATTGACGGAATTTTCTTGGAATTCACGTTTCTCTAATTTGAGAAAACTTGAGAACTTCAGAAAATTTCAAAGACTACAGCAGACAAGTATCGAGGGGAAGGGAGCATTTAGGGCTGAAAAAGTCCCTTAAAAATTCTTAAACATTTTTTTCTTTTAAAATTCCTTAAAAATTCCCTACCGAACACCCTATCTTTGGTCATCATTCTCGGACATATTTTTTCCTTTTTCTCTATAAAAAAAAGGAAAACAAACTTTTTGTATTCTTAAAGTTTACGATGTTACGAAAAATCCAGGGTTTCCGCAGTCCTAGGCCCCATGATCTAAATGTAACTGAAACATCCATTCGAATTGAGAATTCGATCATTTCAGCGCTAAAAATGATTGGGCTCGGCGTGGAGAATTCAGTGGGAGAAAAATCGTTTGCATGCGCCTTGAAGTTGAACGATTTCACAACAGTTTCAATATCAGCATCCGTTCGGGAAGAAATGTCCACCCTTCAAATGAGGATTAAAAATTACACAATACTGTTCAGCCTACTTTGAGGATTAGAAAATTACACAATACACGTCAAACAAACGGAGATCAAAGCTACTAACGACAGAATCATTCAAACAAGGAAACCAACAGATGTGCAATGCAAACGTAACAATGAAAACAAAAATATTAATTAAAACAATAAACAAGAAACAAACAAAACCAAAAAAAAGACTACGACATGGACCAGAGATGAACTTACGACGCAACACGCGACAGCCTGAGACTCGCCGCACGTGTGAATGCAGGTATAAGTCTGTAACAAAACGGAGAATGTGTTCACTGTCTCGTGTTAACATACTCTGAAAACGCACATTATCTTTTAAAAGCGTTAATCTTTACCTCAGACCTGGTCCGTCCTTGCTGAAAATCAGGGGTAGAATTTTGGCGTACCTAACGTTTTTCAGGACTATCTTACAAACAGTAATAAATACAACAAAAAAATCTCTTTTTCTGGAGACTTAGCACGAACATTTTTATTGTTTCATTTGAAAAAGCTCAAAGAGCTGATTTCGCAGTATTTCTCATAAATATTTCTGAAATTAACTGAGAAAATGCACCACGTGGTAATATCATCTATCGGCATTTTCCATTTGAAAATATTATGTGTTTCGGCAGATTAGCTCATTTTGTCATATCCCCTTCAATAATAAAATTGTCAAGAGATCCTCGTGTTCAGTCCACTCCGACATCTGCAAATTCTCCTATGAATACGGTCTGAACTGAAATCCTACATTTTACTAACTATGATGGTACGGACAATTTCATCCATTTTGTGACCGAGTCTCGTACTTTTCAGGATACACACAAGCACGAAACGCGTTTTGCACCATTGGCGTTATAAATACAGGATATCAGAGGTGTTTCAATTGAACATAGATATTTATTTTTGCTTGTATAAGGGAACTGTTCGTATTGGATGAGTTTGTTCTCAGGGCCAGAATAAGGGATTTTTAGCGGGTGCGCAATCGAATAAGGCGGCCTCCTGTCGAGAGGTCGTCTCCCGGAAAATTTTGCAAGTTCAGTGTTTCCAAAAAATGAAATTTCTTTACAACAACCCTATCTCTCACTTAGAAATGATACTCACCTTCTTTTTTTTTCAGCCGGCAGCGACTTCACCCATTTTTTACACTTCAAAATCAGCTTTTGCCCGTTTTTAGAGTAACTTCCGTCCCTCAAAAATATAATATCTGTAGTACTTACTATTACAACAAAACCCCAAAACTGCGGGAGGAAGGACTGCTGATAGATTTACAGAGATACGTTTTGAAATTTGTTGAGCGTATATCTTCAGTTAATAGTTGTTACACTTGCTCATGAATGAAGTCCTCCAATTTTCAGGGCTTTTCTTCCTTCCTCGTGCACATTCCTCCCTTTTCCTAGAGCAGCTCCTTTTAAAATCTGGACTATGAAAAACTAAATCTTAGCATTGGTAACACACCCAATCTGCCAGACTCTTACTCCCCTCCTTTTTGAATTTTGTTTTTCTGTTCCCTTCCTCCTTTTATCTCTTCGTCCTCATTTTATACCCCCCCCCATTATTTCCATTATTTTTCTTTACTTATCTCATTTGGCGTCTAGCCCATCGGTAACTCCTCATGCGCCACCCTTCATCCGACCCTGTCCGTTGCTTCCTCTGATTTCTCCAGGAATATTGAATAATATTTGAAAAAAGGAATGGCAAAATAGTGGTCCGTTCTTACTAACCTGGATATACTTCCAATGCTGGCATGCGAAAAGAAAAACCAAATTTGAATTAAAATTGTGGCCTAGAAAATCACGAAGTTTAGAGAAAAGAAATATCTAACGTTCTACTCAATTAACACTCAGAATGAAATGCCAGCTATATATACTTGGAAGATTATTTCTTCAGATCATTTTGAGGTCAATAAAATGCTACTTGGTAAGTATGTATAAATTTGAATTGATACTAGAAGAAATATTTAACGAAATCATGACCGGATAGTTTCAAACAAAATGAAAATGTACTTTTTTAAAAGAAAAGGAAAGGAAGAAAATATTACAACTTAGGTGAAATCAAAGTAGAGGATCAACTGAGAGCTGGAAATAGAATGATAAGGGCTGAGGGTATATCTGTGCTAAAAGAGACGACGAAAATGACTATAGATTTTAAGAACGGAACACTACGATTTTAGGAATGGTAAGGAAGGTAAGATGGATGCAAATTTGTCAGACATAACTGCATAAGAGGAAAAACTCAACATCTCACGAATAGGGAGCTGATGAAAGTAATACGGGCGGAAATACATGGAAAATTTTGCATTTAAAACAATGATGAACTAATTTCAAAGTTTCACATATGAACGAAAAAAATACGATATCTATAGTAAACAGACACCAAAATAATTTGTCTCTCACACAGGCTGTAGTATTGATAAAAAAGAAACACATGCATCTCATTGCTTGTATACGCTTCTGATTCTTGATGCAGCGATTACGCTCCATGAATGTGTTACCAAGGTCGAACTGAGTTTTTCCACAGTTTTCTTGGGACCGAGTGCACTTCTATACGAGACGCTACTTCAAAGATCTTTTACGGCAGCGTCATCCAGCAGAAAAGAACGACGGGTGTAACTTGGAGTGGTATCATTACTGTTTTCAGTACCACGAATCTACCGTCAAATAAATAAATAAAAAAATCGATCACCTCGATAGGTGAACCTCAGACTCTATTTTCCCGATTTTTTCTTTAAAATCATGAATAATCTTAAGATTTCTGCAGATATGTTAAAATTATATTCAGATATGCATATATGATTCTATATGAGATATGATTATATTGCAGATATGTTGTAATTGTTAAAATTTCAGTACATTACTCCTCTCCTTAATGGTTAGTAATTCTGTGAAATCTACTATCCATAAAAAGTCGAGCTCACGGATTTCCAACTGTCACCCGTGAGTTAGAGAATTTCCTAAGCCCCTGCGGCAATTGGATTGCATTTTGCAATCTGGAACTACAATATCGGGCTTAGTTTAGAAACGACGTATGCACCATTAGTTTCCCTATCGACATAGGTGTTTTTACAGATAAGCAAAAAATTGTGGTTCCTATTCCAATTATTGCCCATCAGAGACAATTCTCACGGCAATTATTATAAAAATTATCTTTGATAAATTTTAATTTTTAAATAATACGGAAGCTTTATAAAATTCATTTAATTTTAAAATTTTAGATAAAACAATACGTTAAGATAAATACGTTAGGACCTCTATTTGGATATAGCTTCAAATACAAACAACTTTATGACTTTTTTTCACGAATGAGGCTCAACGTAGGCGGCGGCTTTAAAATTCGAAAGAACGCCCCGGGACGCGGGCTTCTGATCTCAGCGTATTAATCCGAATGACAGGTGGATGATGAAGTGTCTTACCGCATAATTTCGTCCTGGCCGTCATTTAATTAAGTATTCCGTTTCGGCAAAAGCTAACATAATATCGATCCAACAAAAGCGAGGTGACACGGGCCGAATCGAGACAGCCAACGGCGCTCGAGTAGGTGGTGCTCCGGATGACTGATGACAACCGCTGAGTTGGGTGACTAACTAACCCACTCAATCATTTTAAGAATACCGTGCCTCAAATGAGACAAGCTATCTGATTAGTGTCACCACTAAATAATTGTCCATCGACAGCTTCTCGCGAATGAAAGTAGCTGGAATGAGCGGATTTGCACGACCAAGCATTGAAGAAAATTGTTATAAAACATTTTAAATTTTAAAAAACATTTCCATTGGTATAAAATAAATTGTTGAGTAGCTGGAATGAGCAGATTTGCACGACCAAGCACGAAGAAAATTGTTATAAAAACATTTCAAATTTTAAAACAATTTCCATTGATTTTAATAAATTGTTGAGTTAACAAAATATTTCACACATAGAAAGCTGTTTAGAGAGAGAAAATACTAATTAAAATAATTTTTTTTATAATAAAATTTTTATTGATGAGATAATTTCTTTCTCTCGTGAGGATTTAGTAAACACATTTTTCTTGGACTCAAATTCTTTGTACCCGGGGCATTTTTTTTTTTTTTCAAATTAAAAAAAACGGATTCAAAAATGTTTTTCACTCAGCGATGTTGTCAGCGCTGCGAACAATACTGTCTCCTTGAGCTGAATATTTATATGGGCGGATAATCCTTAGTGATGATCGATTCCTGGATTATGTCCTGAGTTCTCTCTGACGTTCCAACGATGTTTGGCATGATGATGCACTGATGCTTTCTCGCGAGAAAATGTAGTGCTAAGTTCGAGCACATACAATAAAACTCAGAGGTCTCTGTAGAAACATTTTAAGTTTTGAAATCATTAAAAAAATTAGGCTTCGATAGAGATATTCCCGGAATTTTCTCCGACTCCTACGTTTTCCATCACTTAATTCTTAAATATTATTAAGTTACCGGCTGCCTCTTGATTTCCTATATTTCTAATTTTCTAATTGTTTGAAAACTTAGTGATTTTATTATGTTTATAATTTCATCTTACAAGGGGAGTCTACGAAGTGACATCCTGGGATTGGGTTCATTTTGCTTGTACATGAAGAAGAGACAAATCTAAGGTTGACGTATTTTTTTTTAGCCGCCACCTCCCAACCGTTCTCGAGATATCGATTTTTAAAGTTACGATTTTTGCACGTTTCCGCGCGGAGTTCCGGCGAGTCAACTGAGCGCCGGCAAGCTGCACGAAGCCCGTTTCCTATCAGCGCTGCAGACCGGCCGCCCTTATCAACTGACTCGCGGCCGAGTGGTAGAGTATTCGCCTACCGTTTCAGCGGTCGCGGGTTCGAATCCCGCTTCGTGACGTAGCTTTTAGAATACGCCGAAATGCGTTCTTACAAGTTTTCTTTATTTTTTATCACACACCAAGGGGTCCGCCCCCTGGCCGCTACGCGGTCCAACCCCCGGGGCGAAAAGGCCCGCTTCGAGCGGCAACCGAAATCATCGAAATCGACCGTTGACGGTTACTGGGTAAATAATTTTAATTGAATGATAAAATGATGTTAATTTCAAATAAAAATTTTCCATCACACAATATTCTTAATTACTTTTTCCTTACTCTGAATTTGCAACCGTCAACGGTCGATTTCGATGATTTCGCTTGCCGCGAAGCGGGCCTTTTCGCCCTGGGGGTTGGACTGCGTAGCGGCCAGGGGGCGGACCCCTTGGTGTGTGATAAAAATGAAGAAAACTTGTAAGAACGCATTGCGGCGTACCCTAAAGGCTACGGCACGAAGCG